CGACTACAAGTGAACCACAGATGACATCAGTATTGAACTTTGCTTTCACAAAACGAACAAATTTATTGAAAACACTATTGCAAATGTATAAAGACTACAAGTGAACCAAACATGACATCAATACTGAACATTGCTTTTTTAAAATGGATGAATTTATTGAAAACACTATTGCAAATGTATAAAGACTTCTCAAATAACTAAATTCCTAAATTCCCAAATTCTCATATCCCCAAAGTCTCAAATTACAGAATCTCTAAATCCCCAACTTCTCAAATAACTAAATTCCTAAATTCCCAAATTCTCATATCCCCAAAGTCTCAAATTACAGAATCTCTAAATCCCCAACTTCTCAAATAACTAAATTCCTAAATTCCCAAATTCTCATATCCCCAAAGTCTCAAATTACAGAATCTCTAAATCCCCAACTTCTCAAATAACTAAATTCCTAAATTCCCAAATTCTCATATCCCCAAAGTCTCAAATTACAGAATCTCTAAATCCCCAACTTCTCAAATAACTAAATTCCTAAATTCCCAAATTCTCATATCCCCAAAGTCTCAAATTACAGAATCTCTAAATCCCCAACTTCTCAAATAACTAAATTCCTAAATTCCCAAATTCTCATATCCCCAAAGTCTCAAATTACAGAATCTCTAAATCCCCAACTTCTCAAATAACTAAATTCCTAAATTCCCAAATTCTCATATCCCCAAAGTCTCAAATTACAGAATCTCTAAATCCCCAACTTCTCAAATAACTAAATTCCTAAATTCCCAAATTCTCATATCCCCAAAGTCTCAAATTACAGAATCTCTAAATCCCCAACTTCTCAAATAACTAAATTCCTAAATTCCCAAATTCTCATATCCCAACTTCTCCAATTACCTAACCCTAAATCCCTAAATCCTCAAGTCCCAAAATTCCCATATCCCCAACTTCTCAAATCTCTGACCCTAAATCCCCAAATTCTCAACTCTCCAAACTGAATTCCTCACAAATATCTCCCCAGAACTTATTAAAAATACACCAACCACTCTACTATCACAATTCAATAAATTTGATCCGAAAACTAATTACGAAACCGGTCAACGACTTCCATCGAAAGTAGCGAAAGGTTTAAGACCGTCGCGATCAGAGTTAATATTTACCATTGTTGTTGGTGAGTAGAACATAGACGAAGTAGGCGACGATGAGGGCGCCGATCAGCGTCAGCATTTCTGCGATCAGTTCCACGAACATTTATCACACGCTTCACGTCGTGTCCCTTTTCGAAAAACTCTTAAACGGTTCGTTCACACTGTCACTACTAATCGTTGCCAACATTGTTCGCTCGCTCTCACTTTTTTACCGTCCCTCTTCTTTACGACGATCGGGAACAATCGATTCCGACGCGATCACGCTCTGCAAACGTATCGAAAAACTTGAAAACTCGTTTCTTTTCGAACGACGCTCGCTCGAAGAACTTTTTCCTTGTTTTTTTTTTAGCGAGTCGATTTCTACGAAACTATGCGAGTCAGAGGCTACCGCGGGAGACCTCGACGATCATGAGTTTCACACTTCCGTCGCGTTATCCAGAGAATTATTTCCTGATACTTTCTCGTTTCTTCGATACCGGAACGTCGAGTCTTCTCAACGTTCTGGTAAATGCAGTCGATTTCATCGGACTGAATTAGCCGCGATTCGCTTTTACCTGCTTATCGTTCACTGCACACAAATTAGATATTCTTATTTTTACTCTCATATTATTCATAATTTCATAATTCATCAACAGGAATTTCTAATTAAGTAAATTATATTCAGTAAATTTTCAATAATTGAATTAGCATGAAAATTACAGTGTTACGAGCACGTGGTAAATTCGTTAAAAAACGATCAGTTTCTTGCTTCTTCCGAAACAATATGGAAGGCAAGGAGGTTCCCGCGAGCAAGGTTACACCTCCACGAGTACACTTAATTACAGGTATTCACACCTGCACACGGCCGAAGGGGACGCGCTCGCGAGCAGTGAGAACGGCCTTTAAACTCTCATTTGAATAGTCGCTCGACGACGATCCTCTGGACTTTGAGATTTCCCGTTCGAGACGAACCATAGCGACGCGACGAGTTTTTACACTTGTTAATGTTCTTTTCAATATACTGATCATTGTCGTCATCCGCAAGTGACTGCACCTTCTCGACGTACATCTTTTTTTATTCGAGAGTTATGCAATTATACATGCTGTGATTATGACGCATTGCTTTTTAATTTAGGCAAATTTTCTTGTGGAATTATTCGCAATTATCTTGGAAGATCTTTTAGTTGATTAATAGTTCCTGGCTGCTGTGTTGCTGTTCTGATATTTTTACTGTTTCAATAAGTTGTGATACTGTCTTGTTATAGTAGTGTTCTGTTTTATAACTATAGTTAATGTTATTGTGGATGAAACTTGTGGTCAAGATGTACATTATTCAACCAAACATCAATATTGAAGCAGGCATCAATATTGAACCTTGATTTTAAAAAATGAACAAATTTATTGAAAACACTATTGCATATGTGTAAAGATTACAAGTGAACCAAACATGACATCAGTACTGAATCTTGCTTTTCTAAAATGGATAAATTTATTATAATGGATAAGAAATTATCTAGTCACTTTGAATATAATTAATTCTAATCTTTTGAACAATTTTTTGTGACATTGCTGTAAATGTTATTTAAACATGAGACTTTGACCTCGTCTAAAAAAATGAACGAATAGATTGAAAATTTTATATGTGTATAGTGCAAGTGCCTCAACATTGCAAGTAGTTAATTGAGCATTGAAGCTTGTTTTTAAAAAATGGACAAATTTACTGAAAACACTATTACAATGTATAAAGACGACTACAAGTGAACCACAGATGACATCAGTATTGAACTTTGCTTTCACAAAACTTTTAAAAAATGAACAAATTTATTGAAAACACTATTGCAAATGTATAAAGACTACAAGTGAACCAAACATGACATCAATACTGAACATTGCTTTTTTAAAATGGATGAATTTATTGAAAACACTATTGCAAATGTATAAAGATTACAAGTGAACCAAATATGACATCAATACTGAACCTTGCTTCTCAAAAAAGAACAAATGTATTGAAACCATTATAAACTACAATTATATAAAAATGATAAGAAGTTCATTACACAAGAGACCACCTTTGTACTTCCTTTGCAAAAATGAACAAATTTATTGAAAACACCATTGCAATTATATAAAGACTCCAAGTGAACCAAAGATGACATCAACACAGAACCTTGCTTTTCAAAAATGAACAAATGTATTGAAACCACTATAAATTATACAGGGTGTCTCACAACTAGTGTAGGTCCCTGAAATGGGGGATAGCTGACGTGATTCTGAACAAGATTTCCCTTTGCAAAAATGGAGTTTGAAGCTTCGTTTTTGAATTATTAAGGAAAAACACGGACCAATCAGAGCGCGAGGATTGCGCATGCGCAGACGCGAGAGCGACAGCTTCGAACCTAGCGGCTGAGCGCGCGTAATCCTTGCGCTCTGATTGGTCCGTGTTTTTCTTTAATAATTCGAAAACGAAGCTTCAGACCGAATTTTTGTAAAGGGAAAAGTTGTTCAGAATCTGGAACCTTACCATCCTATTCCGAGAGTTACAGTAGTTATGAGATACCCTGTATTCCTATACCACAAGTTTATATCCCTGGATTCAAGTATCTCTAACTTACACAAGAACTTCCTTCCAAAAATGAATAAATTAACCATTGTAAATATGTAAAGACTACAAGTGAACCAAAGATAACATTGAGCCTTGCTTTCCAAAAATGAACAATTTTCTTGAAAAATATTGCAAGTAACTATTGCAAATAGTGACTTTACATAGTTACAAGTGAACCAAAGATCAAGTTTCCCAGTAATGATCAATTTCATTGAAAGTAGTAAATTGCAAAAGTGTAAAGACGTCGAAGAGCATTGCGCAAACTTGATACACCTCCTGCATAAACCATTTAACGCAACGATCGGTGTTCTGTGTAAACACGTGTCTCGGTACACTCGTCTCTTTTTATACCCCGAACAATTGCCGTTCTTGTTATGCATGCTGGGTCACGGAAGAGACAAAAATATATTCCGACGACGTAGAAATTCAATCGTTCCTGAATTGCCCGCCATGAATGATTCCGAGTGTCCGAAGGAAAAAAAAGGCGATCGCTGAAAGCCGCGTTGAACTTTTGTCACGATTTTGTTCCCATTGTCGATCGAGTTACAAGTCATTTCGGCTGATTCGAATCTTCGGTCGCGCAGAGGTCGTGGAGTCATCAAGACGAATTTATATGGATGAAACGGCAACTTCGACGCCGTAAAAATCGTCAGGACCGTGCGAAAGTGTCCCGGTTTTCATTTCAGTACCGTTCAAATTCTACTTTTTCTATTTTTTAAATTCACTCTACAGTCAATGGAGTTTAGACTTATATTTACGGTCGCACAGGTTTCCTTTATTCGGACAAATTTTAGACTCTTGGAGGACGGGTGAAGATCGGACTTCGCTTATGTAACAAGCTAGGTCACGTTCACGTGTAATCGAACTGACAATGAAATGTTTCCTTGTGGCGATCGATTTTATTGATCGTCATGTTTCTTGAGTTCGTGACTACAATTGATACAACAAACTGAATTTATTCAAGAACCATATTCACTTTCCGTGAAACTTTTATGGTAAATATACGAAATTAACAATTTTATCTCAAACTTACAATTATAATATTGTGCTTACAATAATATTTGATGGAAGTTTCATTATCGTACTTATATCATTTATGAGAGGTTACTTTTTACGTTCCTGTACCAGCTGTACAAATAACGCCTGTGAAAGACAACCCGTCTTACACGGCTGCATCAAGGAGCATCTTGATCAAATGTGGCACATAAAATTTTATAGTAATATTTACTGGATCCAGGCTTGTGATAGCAAAGATTTTCGAAATAAGCTGAAGTGGTACTCACTTTTTAGAGACAGTTCCAGAGCCGTAGCCAGTCGGGTTAGAGCATGGACCAAGGGTACAAGATACTTTCCCAAAAGCTTGTCATCTATTAATTAGCGTTAGTCAGGTTAGTCAATGGTTGGTCAACGACTGTTTCTTCGATGATTTTTAGTCAACATGTTACACTGATCTGTTATGTAAGATTTATCGATGTCTCTACAGGGTGTTTCACAACTAGCACCTCTCGGAATCAGCTGTTTCAGGGACACAAGTTGTGAGACACCCTGTATGTTACAATTATTACAATGGAGCTGAAATTACAGTCATCGAAGAAACGCTAAGAGTTAATCGAACTGGTAATGTCGCGTTTAGAAAGGCATTCAGAATTAAACCTAGTGATTGAAATGCTTGAAAGTTAATTGTTGAGTATGCACGTTGTAGAGAAATATATCTTTAGTGACTGTGAAAGGAATTCGCGCGTTTCTTTTATTTGAGCTTCTTCAGTAGATGGTTAGCTTAGTTATACTCTTATCTGCAAAAGTATCTAAATTTTTATCGTTTATTTTCTGTGATTGCGCGCGAAATGAACCGGTTCTTGTAAAGAGTATTTAATTATCCATTAGAATGAAACGAAACTACGAGGAAGGAAAAAATATTAATCGGTCGCGCTCGTAAATTCATTAAAAATGACTAGTCGAACTGGTTAATCGATTTTAAATTTCCGTTTTGCGGATCTAAATGAGTACGTAAACGAAAGTTATCGATGTACCTTCGAGTGTGAAGAACGTCGATATAATTGCATTTATTGGGAATTATTTAGCGGTAATTCGATCAATTTCCTTTCGTAGTCTCTTCAAAGAGATGTTACGAGGATGAAGGATAAATTTAGTGCTTTTTAACTTACATTCCGGATGATCGTAGAGGCGATCGATCGGTATATCCTCGACGCTACCGATCAATCCTTCGACTATCTTCTCAACGAGATCACGAATGGTTTCCATCGTGTTCGCCTCTTCTTTCTCCCCGGGCAAACACGATCCCGAACTGGTAGCTGCATTTTCCACTCCTGAAACGATTGATTCGTTAAACGGCCGCGAAGGATAATTTACGAGCCGCAACTTGGAAAAATCAAGGATTTAGTTGCATAATTTCCTTTGGCTAGCTTCCTGTTTTACTATGCTTCAACGACCATCGAGTTGAAAACGGAAACGAGGAGATAAATTAGCAGTGATAGTACATCCTTTCTTTTGTACACTGATTTCTTTTAATTAAATGCAGATTAAGCTGTTTTCTATTTAATGTCACTTCTCAGTCTGATAGAGAAATGAAAAGTGATTAGGTGTCAGTTAAACGCTTAGGTAATATTTTGTAATATTAACGATGCGAGATGCTGTATAATTAAAATGAGTTGGTGTACATTATACAATTATGCGTAATACGATTATGACGCTTTGGATTCAATATATTTGATTATAGTATGACAGTATAGGAATGCGCTGTGATTACAGCGCAACGAATCGGCTACGCATCTTAATTACAGCGCAACGAACTCACAGCACGTTGTAACGCATCAAATTCACAGCGCGTTATAGTTACAATGCAATTGAATTCACAGCGCGTCATAGTCACAACACATCGAGTTGACAGCGCAACGCACATACAACGCGTTCTAACCACAGCGCAACGATTTTCTAACGCGTTGTATTGTCAGTGCAGTGCGCAACGCGCTATACTGACAGCACAACGCACAGCGCGTTGTAATGACAGCGCAACGCACAACGCGCTGTAATGACAGCGCAACACGCGTACAACGCATCAAAATCACAACGCACCATAACCACAGCGCTACGTTCTTATAATGCGCTGTAACTACAACGAAACGCATCCACAACGCTGCATTCGTATAATGCGTTGTAACTACAACGCAACTCATCCACAGCGCTACGTTCTTACGCGTTCTAACCACAGCGCAACGATTTTCTAACGCGTTGTATTGTCAGTGCAGTGCGCAACGCGCTATACTGACAGCACAACGCACAGCGCGTTGTAATGACAGCGCAACGCACAACGCGCTGTAATGACAGCGCAACACGCGTACAACGCATCAAAATCACAACGCAATGCACCCACAGCGCTACGTTCTTATAATGCGCTGTAACTACAACACAACGTATTCACAGCGCTACATTCTTATACAGCGCGTTGTAATGACAGCGCAACGCACAACGCGCTGTAATGACAGCGCAACACGCGTACAACGCATCAAAATCACAACGCAATGCACCCACAGCGCTACGTTCTTATAATGCGCTGTAACCACAACACAATGCATCCACAGCGCTTCGTAATTTTAGCGCAACGAATCTACAGCGCGTCATATTGACAGCACGTCAGATTTACAACGCAACGTAATTACAACGCACTATACCACAATGCAACTGGATTATAACGCGTTGTATCATAAATGACAGTAATACAACTCGTGGCAATGCAACCTAACCATCTTATATCACATGTGATTTAACGCGATGCAATACAACACGTGTAAACACATGTTTTTGCTAAAATCAGTACATCTTCCATTTCTAAACATGTCAGATGAAAATCTCCATTATACTCAACACTGTTTCAGATCCTCTAAAATGTAAGTTTCTAGGTCATGTATGCATTTCGTGAAGAAGAGAGCGCACATAAATTAAGTAAAATCTGCTATCGATAACTCTGTGGCCAAATCATAAACGTATCAGATCTAAGATTTGTTACAATTTTGATACCGAATGAAGAACGAATATCGTACCCATGTGCCTTTCTTTTCAATTCAATTAAAAAACATAAAGAAAAAAGCAGAAACAACTTACTCATTCACGCGATCAAGGCTTTCTCTCGTCAGGATACGTTCCCGCACTCGTCACACAGCGATTCGCGCATTTTCGAAAACACCGACAACTCGTTGGATTTTGAATCGATGGATCGAACGCGACAACGATGCGCGGCGATCGCGAATCACTGTCCAACTGACACGGCCGAGCGCTTTCTAAACGAAAGTATCGACAACCATTAAAGATCTACCACCGTATTCCTTTTTTCTCCCCTAGTGTTTGTAACCGCATTCTCTTAGGCGAGTACCGCAAGACCGGTATATTTATCAGTTATCACGCGGCTTCGAGGCCGCTCGAGCGCGAACAGACATCGATCTTCGCTCCAGGATATTTCGCTGGATGTCCCTCCTCCCAATTACCCTTTTTTGCTTCTTTCGATTCGCCTTTTTACGTCCGACTTGTTTCGCAAGTTTCTAATTGAACCTGCACTTTTTCTTCGAACCCTTTTTTCCAAACTTTTTACCTTCGTTTGATAACTTTCTGACTGTCAAAAGACCGGCATTTGCTTCGGGATATTTTACGTAATGGTTTCTAATTGTTTGCTAGTTATCCTTGGTAAGCTCTTTGGAGATTTGAAAGTATGTGTGTACACTTTTCGGTACACACTGGAATCTCACTCCCACTGTATTTTACAGTTTACTTCCTTTTACACACAGGTTCTTCAACTGTTTGTCACATGTCCAGAAAGTTAGAGCAAGTTTCTCAAATTTTTCGAAGATATCACTTTTTCCTCGAACGAGTTTCCACATCGTTTTCAGTCTCGTTTAGGTCGCGACTTTCCTTGCCATTTCCTAAGCAAACCGGTCGTACTCTCTCCGTGCAAAAACCTGTGTGGTTCAAAAACCGAGGAGCAAAGTTTTCGTCTCGACGCTCCGGAGCTCCTCGAGGACCGTGACAGTCACCTTGCAGAACTCGCGATGGCCGTACGGTTCAAGGAACGCGAAAAAACGCGTTCGGCGACGATGACAGTCGAGGAAGCCGATCGTCGGACGCGAGTAACGGAGTGTCGACGACTCGGCAAAAGAACGATCAGAGTGTAAAGATGATCGCGAGAGAGTGTACGGCGACGTTACTCCCAGGAGTACTGGAGCAGAACTGAGCTTCCCCAGCTGTGGGCCCCGCGGGACAATAAGAAAGAGACGCATGAGAGAGTTCCGTTTCCAAGGGAGCCAAAAGCGATCGGAATTCGGGCCCGCTTCTAATCGATTCTCAGGACGTACTGTGATTACTTCTGTCGAGCTTCTACCCTTTCGTAGGCTGTTTAGAGAAACTACTGTTCATATGTGTTCATGTGTTATATGGGAAACATATAGGTTTCTCATTTTCAAGTCACATTTTTTTATGTCTTTACATCTCTAGATCTCAAAATTTAGGTATCTTTGTAGGACATGAAGTTAGTGCTTCATATGTGTACGTTCACATATGCTCAGAGACACTTAACTATGCTATAATACTACAATTTTGATATGTGTGCACATATGTGTTATATGGGCAACATATATGTTTCTTGATTTCAAGTTACATTTTTAAGTTAGTGCTTCATATGTGTTCATTCACATATGCTCTGTTTAATGACACTTAACTATGCTATCTATAATACTACAATTTTTATATGTGTGCACATATGTGTTATATGGGAAACATATCTGTTTCTTAATTTCAAGTTATATTTTCAAGTCACTGCTTCATATGTGTTCATTCACATATGCTCTGTTCAGAGACATTTAACTATGCTATCTATAATACTACAATTTTGATATGTGTGCACATTTGTGATATATGGGAAACATATATGTTTCTTAATTTCAAGTTACATATTTAAGTCACTGCTTCATATGTGTTCATTCACATATGCTCTATTCAGAGACACTTAACTATGCCATCTATAATACTACAATTTTGATATGTGTGCACATATGTGTTATATGGGCAACATATATGTTTCTTGATTTCAAGTTACATTTTCAAGTCACTGCTTCATATGTGTTCATTCACATATGCTCTGTTTAGAGACACTTAACTATGCCATCTATAATACTACAATTTTGATATGTGTGCACATATGTGTTATATGGGAAACATATATGCTTTTCTTAATTTCAAGTCACATTGCTGTATGTCTCTACATTTCTGCATCTCAAAATTCATGTATCTCTGTAGGACACTAAGTGACTATAGCTTCATATGTGTACATTCACATATGCTCTGTTCAGAGACACTTAACTATGCTATCTATGATACTACAATTTTGACATGTGTGCACATATGTGTTATGTGGGAAATATATACCTTTTTTCTTAATTTCAAGGCACATCCCTATAAGTCTCTATATCTCTAGATCTCGATATTCATACATATATCGTTGTAGGACCCGAAGTCTCTCCACATATGTACATTCACATATGCTGAAATTTTATACATATTTGTTTTGTTCGTTTCTACATGTTACATTCCAAAGTAACTATACATCTTAACATTTCTAGAGTTCGAAAAAGTAGTCATTATACTTGTCTATCATAATTTCCTCCTGCCAAAAAGTTACCAAGTCCGATTAAAATTTCATGCACGAAAGTGCACAATATCAGTTATACTCGTTCTGCATGGTAACGTCCGTTTAAAATACCGGTCCTTAAAGGGTTAAGAGCTTGAGCACGAGTCGAGGATCTGGTTTGCTGAAAATTTGCACGGTGGAATGCGAGGAGTCGCGAGATACTCGTTTCCTAGAAGAAATAACGAGGATCTTTCGGCACGGTGAAAAACGAACAACAAGGGACAACGCCACGACACGGTCTGACCATGTTTGGTGAAAGAACAGATCCTTGGAATAGGCCGTGGTTAGTTGTAAACGGAGAAACCTGATGTGCAACCGGGTATAAAAGACCCGACGTGGACCCAGTCCCATCCTCGCCTTTTTAGGACGATTCATAATTTTTGCCGCTCGAAAATATTGCACGTTAATTGAACGACTGGTAATTAACGATCAACCTGTTGCGCTAGAATCATTCTGTATCTCTCGGTCTCGTTTACTTCTTCGTATTTATTCGTTTATACGGAGGAAGCTTCGATTAACCAATTAACTGCTTAATCACGAGTAATTAGATACTCGACTGCTCAATCTTCTGTTGTTATTTCACGAGTTTCGACGAACATTTATATTTTGTAGTCTTATAAAACAATTTCTCAAATCAAGAAATTTAAAAAATGTGACAATTATGTTCTGACATTAGAAACTTTGTAAACCAAAAAATTTGCAAATCAGGAAATTTAAAACTTTGAAAATTTTGAACCTACAAAATGTGACAATTGTGTTCTAAAATTAGAAACCTTCTAAACCAAAAAATTTGCAAAACAGGAAATTTAAAACTTTGAAAATTTTGAACCTACAAAATGTGACAATTGTGTTCTAAAATCAGAAACCTTGAAAATCAAAAAATTCGCAAATGAGGAAATTTGAGAATACAAAATTTGAACCCCCGATATGAAACATAGAATCCACAATAGAAAATTGGAAAAGAAAATTTTTGGACCGAAAATCGGAGCTTGAATCGTATCGCAGATTCACGATGGTTGCAGACATTTTCATACGAGTGACCCGTAAAAATGTATCTCGTAACTCGACGAGCCGGTTACCGGTAACGGACCAAGGAATCGCAGATCGTATCCTGTTCTGTGCACGCACAGAATTTTTTTCCGTCGCGCAGAAAAGCTAGTTTCCACGAGCGGCGCTATCCGCTTCGCATCGTCTAGATGCGCTCGTTTCCGATCAAACGGTCTGATACGATTCACGCGGAAAGATCGTAAGCTTGTGCAACGAACAATGAGCATTGCCGGGAATCTAGCGTGAGATATTTTTCGAGCTCGTTCTTATTGTTACTCTTCCGTTACACGACTTTTCTGGTTAAGAACAAGGACGCTCCACCGATTCCAGATACGACAATGGGACCCGAGGCACGATTCCAACTGGAATCAACGTCAATTAACATTTCACTCGCGACTTTCTCAGCCTGCTATCCGGACTAATTTCGTTTTTCTTCATTTTTTCCTCTCTCTTCCTTTTCACCTCTATTTTTGTCGATCTTGATGCGGGACTAAACGATCGTTTAAGAAGCCGCTGAGACAAATTGAGGTGATTTCTTAACCGCTCTTGGATCGCGCAATTCTCTATTCGAAGATAATGCTTATCTTCCATCAAGATAATGGCATTAACATTCCTCTGTGATGGATACCATGTTAATATCCGTACTTGCTATCCGCAGACGTTATTTAGATTTTAGAGAATTTTGGAATATTGAACGTTTACCATATGTTTTGTTAAATAATATGTCTCAATAATAAATACAGAGTATCTCATAACTTGCAAATGTATAAAGACTACAAATGAACCAAACATGACATCAATACTGAACCTTGCTTTTCTAAAATGGATAAATTTATTGAAAACACTATTGCAAATGTATAAAGACTATAAGTGAACCAAACATGACATCAATACTCAACCTTGCTTTTACAAAATGAACAAATCTATTGAAAACACTATTGCAAATATATAAAGATTACAAGTGAACCAAACATGACATCAATACTGAACCTTGCTTTTCTAAAATGAACAAATCTATTGAAAACACTATTGCAAATATATAAAGATTACAAGTGAACCAAACATGACATCAATACTGAACCTTGCTTTTCTAAAATGAACAAATCTATTGAAAACACTATTGCAAATATATAAAGATTACAAGTGAACCAAACATGACATCAATACTGAACCTTGCTTTTCTAAAATGAACAAATCTATTGAAAACACTATTGCAAATATATAAAGATTACAAGTGAACCAAACATGACATCAATACTGAACCTTGCTTTTCTAAAATGAACAAATCTATTGAAAACACTATTGCAAATATATAAAGATTACAAGTGAACCAAACATGACATCAATACTGAACCTTGCTTTTCTAAAATGAACAAATCTATTGAAAACACTATTGCAAATATATAAAGATTACAAGTGAACCAAACATGACATCAATACTGAACCTTGCTTTTCTAAAATGAACAAATCTATTGAAAACACTATTGCAAATATATAAAGGTTACAAGTGAACCAAATATGACATCAATACTGAATCTTGCTTCTCAAAAATGAACAAATGTATTGAAACCACTATAAATTACAATTATATAAAAATGATAAAATGAACAAATCTATTGAAAACACTATTGCAAATATATAAAGATTACAAGTGAACCAAACATGACATCAATACTGAACCTTGCTTTTCTAAAATGAACAAATCTATTGAAAACACTATTGCAAATATATAAAGGTTACAAGTGAACCAAATATGACATCAACACAGAACCTTGCTTTTCAAAAATGAACAAATGTATTGAAACCACTATAAATTATACAGGGTGTCTCACAACTAGTGTAGGTCCCTGAAATGGGGGATAGCTGACGTGATTCTGAACAAGATTTCCCTTTGCAAAAATGGAGTTTGAAGCTTCGTTTCTGAATTATTAAGGAAAAACACGGATCAATCAGAGCGCGAGGACGCGTGCGCAGACGCGAGACAGCTTCGAGCATGGCGGCTGAGCGCGCGTAATCCTTGCGCTCTGATTGGTCCGTGTTTTTCTTTAATAATTCGAAAACGAAGCTTCAGACCGAATTTTTGTAAAGGGAAAAGTTGTTCAGAATCTCGAACCTTACCATCCAATTCCGAGAGTTACACTAGTTATGAGTCACCCTGTATAGATTCCAATACCACAAGCTTGTATTCCTAGACTCAAGTGTCTCTAAATGCTAATATCATTAGATACCGATTTATCTAATATCCTAGATAACAATATCACTCCAAATATTCCTAGATAACAATACTCCCAGATTTGAATATATATCAGTCATGTGTATATTTTTAGGTTGCATCAATCCGAATACCACAGATCAAAATATATAAAATCTGTATGTAAGCCAACTCACACTAATTATTTGTTATTTTGTTAAATCGTCCTGCCTTGTGTCTCACACCTCCCATTTTGATCCTAATTCTAAAATCTTTAAAAATTTTCTAATTGAATAATTTTCCAATTTGATCCACGTTAGGATCTATGCAAAAATGTCCTATTGTCTTATACCTTCATCGACATTCAAATCCATCGGAACAATAAAAGTGCAATCGCACATTTGGAAAATCGGACGTCGACTCATTTGCCGGTTGAGTCGGCCCGAGAACAATGTCGCAATTAATCCCATACCTTTCTCTGTATGCACATCGTCGATCGTTCACCGCGCCCATAGGATCCAACCTGCAAATCAATTTTAGCTAAAGGACTAACAATTGACCGTGTATCGTTGAATAGTCGTATTCGCGGACACCTCGGTCGTGGACAATCCTTTCGCGAGCATCTGTTTCCGAGAGACTGCATTAGCGAGGAACACGTAGGAATGCTCCACCCTGCATCGTCTTGGAAACTGCATTATTTATAAGGGATCGCGGGTCGTGGCTGTCGAATCGATTTCCTCGAGGACACGACGAACATCTTCGTTCCAACTTGTTCCAACTGATCGATGTTTTCTGAATCTCGATCTTCATTTGCATCCGACATTTTAATCGGGATCGTAATTCACAAACTGCGTAGCTTTTAGCGAATTACGTTCTATTTAATTGTTTTGATTGAACGACGAAATTTTATTTTGCGTTATCGAGGCGGTATCGAATACTTCAACTTCTGATCCAAGCAGATAATCGACTGTGTAAAATGATTCATTTGGACGTGCGAGTATTGTCTAGTTCCGAGAAAGATGATGTCATCGTTTGTTTTCAACTTTTAGCGCAAAAATCTACGCCAAAGAATTTTCGAACTAAACCCTTTTTTCTCCGTATACTTAATGACGAGTGAACAAACCTGTCGCGTAAACTTGTGATTTTGCCGTACTGAAGTATCGTCGCAGATCAGCCGCGATCGATCCACGGTAATCCTCGAGTCCGTTCTTCCTCAGCCAGTATCTAGCGAAAAATAATTAATGAAAGAATGGTTCATTCTACGAGATGAAGTAACTTATCGCGTAAATTCATTAAGCATTCTAAAGAGATCTAATTTCGATGAATTAAGTAGCTTTCGGTGCAAACTTGTGCAATGGACTAGTATCGTCGTGAGAACCTTTGTTGATGGCAAAATAGACAATGCCACGCGTTATCCGACGTGTCCCAACGAGAACAGCCTTTCCTGCAGGATCTTCCACCGCAATCGCTGCAACGGACTCCACGTTCTAGCAAAAATGGTCTCAGACAACAGGAACAGCGATTTTCATCCACTGGTATCTGTTTCTTCTCTTTCTGACTTCCTGGCTTCCTGCAACGCGATATAAAATTCATCGTTAATAAAATTGAAAGCTCGCTTGGAATTTAATGTATGATCTCTTGCTATGTCATTCGATATATTGCATTGAATTCCTATATTTAAAAATCACGCGTTATATCGCCGTATTCTATAATCGGTACATGTTAAGTTCCCTTGTGTTGTATTGCCATACATTTTAATCACTACATTCTAAATTCCCACGCATTGTATTACCTCGCATTATATTGCCGTATTCTAGAATTGCTACGCGTTAAATTCTTACGCGTTAAATTCTCACGCATTGTATCGCCTCGCGTTATATCGCCGTATGCTGGAATCGCTACGCATTAAATTTTCACGTGTTATATTGCCTCGCATTATATTGCCGTATGCCGGAATCGTCACCCATTAAATTCTCACGCGTTACATTACCTCGCATTATATTGCCGTATGCTAGAGTCGCTACGCGTTAAATTCTCACGCATTGTATTGCCTCGCGTTATATCGCCGTGTGCTGGAATCGCTACGCATTAAATTCTCACGCATTGTATCGCCTCGCGTTATATCGCCGTATGCTGGAATCGCTATGCATTAAATTCTCACGCGTTACATTGCCTCGCATTATATTGCCGTATGCTGGAATCGTCACGCATTAAATTCTAACGCGTTGCATTACCTCGCATTATATTGCCGCATGCTAGAATCGATACGCGTTGAATTCTCACGTATTATATTGCCTCGCATTATATCGCCGTATGCTGGAATCGTCACGCATTAAATTCTAACGTGTTACATTACCTCGCATTATATTGCCGCATGCTAGAATCGCTACGCGTTAAATTCTCACGCATTATATTGCCTCGCATTATATCGCCGTATGCTGGAATCGCTACGCATTAAATTCTCACGCATTACATTACCTCGCATTATATCGCCGTATGCTAGAATCGATACGCGTTAAATTCTCACGTATTATATTGCCTCGCATTATATCGCCGTATGCTGGAATCG